AAGGAAATCAAATGTCTGCATCATTAGATATAAGTCCAGATTCAGCTTATTGAAAGGATACCGTCTGAAAAATTTGGGGTCTCTTATTGAATCATTCAGCTGTTTTTATGGAGGAGAGCTGCCCTCTGCAGTACATTGCAGAAATGTGTAGATGTTATCAGGAACCTCTTTGTGACAGCCACAGTAGCAGTAGACTTGATTTATTTTTTTGGAAAATAGGAATTGCTATTTAAAAAATTTTAGTTAGAAAAGGTAGAAAACAAAGGCTTTGGTGAAACAAAAGTCCTGCAATTTCTGTGCATCAGTGTGAAATATACATTGGCAAAGCTATAAATTGTAACCTGAAAAATACGCTACTGATTAGATGTTTAATAACTCTGGGATTTACTTGATACACATTCATTATCTTTTTTCCAGAACTCTGAAGAACTGCAACTTTCAGTGGCCCACATCAAGCAAATTATTGGGATATTAAGGGACTTCATACGCTCTCCTGAGCAGAGAGTGATGGCTTCTACCATATCCAAGTTGAAAATGGATTTGGACTTTGACAGCACTTCCATCAATCAGATTCATCTGGTGCTGTTTGGATTTCAGGATGCGGTGAGTTCCTTGCCTAGTGCAGGGGGAGAGGAATTCTTCCTGGACAGAGCTTACCCCAGGGGTTTGCCACTTCCCCAACTCTTCCTCACTCCTCTTCCTTCTTGTATAGTAGAGGAGCTTGAATGTCACAGTCTGGGTACGGTTTGAAAGCTCTAGCCTAAAACTGTCAGACCTGTCGTTTAGTCTTTCAAAGGTGGGAGGGGTTTAGTGACTCATGCAGTTGTTGCTTTATTAAACTTCATCTGACTATGGAAAAACAAGATTCTTTTTCCTAAGGTGTAAGCTAATGTTGTTTGCTGCTACTTTTTAGCTTGTTTATTTATTTATAGGTGAACAAAGTATTAAGAAATCACTTAATAAGGCCCCACTGGATGTTTGCAATGGATAACATAATTCGCCGTGCAGTCCAAGCAGCAGTCACTATTCTTATTCCAGGTAAATCAAAGCAGCTGAAAATAATCTTTTTTTTTTTTTTTTAAAAAAAGGCAGCTGTTCACATACCAAAGAATTTAACGAATAGAACAGTTTAGATGTTTAATCTGTCAGCATGCCATTAACTGCATCTCCTGTGCCACTACATCAAAGGCACAGGGTCAGAATGTTGTATGGAAAGAAGTGTGATCTGGAGGATTAATGCTGTACTTACAGTACAAAAGCACTTAATGAGGAGATAACCAGTGGTTCTGCACCACCAGTGTGGTCCAACCACGACAAAAAAAGGCAAATTATATTCAGTCCAAGCTCCAGCTTTATTAGTAAGAAAGAAAATGACTCTGTACAACATTATAATGACATCCAAGGTGGGTAACACTGCATAAGTCCAGTTTGTGCTCTGAAAAATGATTACTGAGCTGTGGAACAGATGCAGAGAAGGGATCGCATTAATATGAGGAGGAGTATGATTTTTGGCCCACAGATGGATAGTAGGAAAAATCACCAGCACCGAGGAGGAGGATAAATGACTAAGTCTAAGTTAGAAATTTGCAAGTAGTTTTGCAACTCTTTGAAATACTGAGCACCCCTTCCAGTATGAGAATGTTCTGAGAGCACTTAGTGATGGTGAGCCTTTTCAGTCCAAAATTGCTATGGCTTTAAGCCAAATCAGCCAGATTTTTTAGGACTTTGTAAGAGAAAAATGGCAGCTATTCTTTGCTAGGAAGAGTGGCCACCTGCAGCAAATTCTGAGAGAACTGGTGTTAGAGATGTTACCTGAAGAGGAAGGCTTTGTAAAATCTTTGGTCCAGGGCATTAGGGGAAAACAACTTTTTTTTTTTTTTTACTTTTTTTTTTTTAAAAAGCAAGCTTTCAAGAGCTTCTCATTAATACATTTTATTATCTGGCATCTTATTCATTTCGTCATGAATGTATTTGTCCCTTCTACAGCTGTAACCTACAGCTACCTACTGGTACGCTGCAGCTGAGCTGTTACAGTGCCACCCATTTTAGAACTGATGCCAGAGAACCTGTGGTCCAGCTCCTATAAGGCTTTGCTGCTCCCCTGGTCAGTACTGCAGTAAAGCACATCGTGCAAACAGTCCACTTCCTCAGCTGAAGCTCCCCCACCCGCAGTTACAAAAAAAACTGTCGTACCTCTGAAGACAGACTTGGCCAAAAAAATCTTATTTTTACCCTGTTTCCTTTTACCAGAGCTTCGAGCTCACTTTGAGCCAGCATCAGAAACTGAAGGTGGGGACAAGGACGGTGACGAAGTGGAGGACCGATACCCGCCCACTGAACAAAACGGGGCTGAGGGTCCTGCCGTCACATCAGGACTCAGCACCCTTAGTTCTGCGGTGTCACACGAGGCTCAGCAGCAGCTTAGCCTGGAGTTGGGCAGACTTAAACAAGAGTCCTTAAGGTAACCCTCCTATAACGACTGCGGATTTATTTTCAGGCAGTCTTTGAAAAGCTCTCAGATGTCGCTTTCTACAGTGACATGCACATTCGTAACAGAATTACTGCTCACCTACTATGACTGCCTCATGATAAAGCAGACCTTCTAGGAACACAAATGGATTCAGAATACACTGGCAGCACCGGTATGACAACTCAACAGCCTTCAGTACAGCTTCTGTTTGTGTAATTCGTTTTTTAGTTGCAGAATGTCATGTTGGATTTCTGCTGTTAAGTAATTTGGCTTGTGCAACTGTGCTGGTTTCTTTCTTACTTCCTTAGCTCCTTGGATGGCACCTGACCCAGGGGCAGTGCCCTCAAAGCTGTTCCTGCAAGCAAAGGCTAGAGCAGCCCTGTCCTGGCCCACGAGACAGGCTGATTAGCACACGCAGAGCTCAGCAGAGCCCCTGTCCTATTTCTCTTGAGTTACATTTGCAGGCTGCTGCCAGGGTGTTAACAGCTGAAGGTCCTATATTTCTTTATGGATGTGATGTAAATCTGTGCTCAGAAAGGCCCCAGTAAAACATCAGTGTTATACTGTTCAGCAGTAAATTACAGCATAAAGGCAGCAACTCTGCCCAGGGAGGCTGCAAAACAATAGGAAGAGAATTTACAAGCTATTTAGTAAATTCTGCAAAGATGAAAGCCTTAAAGTGCCAGCACTAAGTTGAGTCTGAGACAACCAAAATGAAATCTGTAAGCCCTGAAATACGTACTTAAGACTTTGGTAGTCGTTAAAAATGATAAATATTTTTTTCAGCTAGTTTTAGTCTCATCATGGTTGTGTTTGATCTCTCTCATATGCGAACAGGCTTTTGGAAAATCTAGTTCAGAAGGAGAAAGAGTATCAGACCCTCTTGCGACAATCTTTGGAGCAACAAACTCAGGAATTACGCTTGCTTCAATTAAAACTTAAACCCAAAGGTATGAGGAGATACTGCGCACTTTGAGAGTTGCACACAAATACTTTGGATGGCGCGTTTGATTTGGCTCAGTGTAACTTAAAAGATGGTCTATTTTAAGCCTCAGTAGTCTGGAAACCATCGCTTTTGCCCTGGTTTTGAGGTGTATTAACCAATACTTTTGTTTTCAGTTAAAGATTCCCAATGGTCTGCAGCAGCTTTGAGAGAGAATGCAGACCCTGAGCTCATGAACTGGCTGAAACAACAAGGAGCAGATGTGGATGCAATTAAGCGGGTAAAAAAATTTAAATAATTAAACCAAAAAAAAATCACCTTTTAAAAAAAGCTCATTGTAGTCATAATTAGCAGTTTGGTTTCAAAGAAGGAATATTAATTTAGGAATAATTTGCCTTTTAGTTTGCTGAAGAGGATTATACATTAAGTGCTGTCCTTAATGACATCACTAAAGATGATCTGCGGTATCTTCAACTGCGGTAAGAAAATACTTCTTAGTTCATTGTTAAGAGCTTAGTTAAAGTAATTTGTAAAGAAACTTTTTTAGAAGTTAGGTTATTCAAATAGGTCAGTGATAGTTCAGCGGCAACTGCTGAGACAAAGTTTTTCATGCCTTAACTGACACAGGTAACAACTACACCTAGGGGGGTGCTTCAAGCCATCTAAATTTTGGCATTTATCAAGGTTGAGAGCAATTATTTCCGAACCATGGAAAAGAGGGAGAAAGAACTTAGTTTTCCTACCCATTGTCATTCAAGTCCCTTCATCACTATTCTGTTAACCCCTGGCTGACCTGGAAGAAGTTGTTTTAACCTTAAAGTGTAGTGTTTTCCATGTACTGGCATAATTGGTATGTCCTTCGGATTTCTAGAATTTACTTTTTGCTAACTTTAAACTAATGGAGAGGAGGGAGTTTTCCCTAAACTGTTCTCCCTTTTTCTTCACGCAGGGGTGGTCTTCTCTGCAGAATTTGGAATGCAATATTAAACCACCGACAAACATTTGGTAAGACCTCAGTGCAGAAGATTAACGCTTCGGAAGGAGAACACGCAATGGGAATAAACAAATGAAAGATACGTTCCTAACACTTAAATTATTAGATGTATATATTTATGTACAGTGGCCTTGCAGGTTTTGCACAATTATGTAGCTCGTTTGACCATCAGTGTAATACACAGTGAATAGTAACAGCTTTTAAAGTCAGTGCCAATACACTTAAATTACTTATGAAAGAGTAATGCAGAAGTCACATGCCTATCAACATAATATAAAGCATTAGCTGAGAAAAAAAAACACCTTTTCTGCAAACAGGTACCACACATGGATTGGCTTTAGCATTGTAAAAACTCTGACCTTGAAACATGTTATGGTTGTGCTGGCTGATGGAGATATGCTAGAGCATATGTCACACCTCTTCATAGTGGAACATATACAGCTTTTTGTATTAAAGCTACTCTAAGAAAAGCCTGGTGTGGTGTTTTCATTTAGTAACTTTTCTGCAGCAAAATCAGAGTATCTAAATGGCTTTGGTTGGTGGGTTTTTTTGGAAAATGGTTCATCAAGAAACAAAGCAAATAGACCATCAGATAAATGTTGTTAAAGTTTAATAATTTTTTCTTTTTTACACTGTACATAACACATACAGCAATCCAAAGAAAAGTCAGTAAATATATAGCAATTTAAATAAACTGCTGCTTTAATTTAGCTCCTTCTGCAACAACATTCAGGATGTTTAAGAAAAATCCATGCTGAGATGGATTTCCTTACACATTTCCTCTTTGAAAGAGCTTTTAAATAAGCTTAAGGGTTGTTTCTGAGTCATTATAGTTCTTGTAAAAGCATTACTTATTCTTCTGGATAAGTTATGCCAACAAAAAGGCTTTTAGCTGACAGACTTGTACCTTATCCACTGGTTTGGGCCACGCACTTCAAAGGGTGGCTCATTGAAGTAGATGTGGTTACCTAGTTCTTCCAACGGTGGCTCTGGGTCAGTGGTAGCAAACTGAGCAGCTTCCTCAATCTCCTTCCTTACAGCCACATCAATTTCCTAAACCAAACACAAAGACTTAGTAGAAGACAGGAAAAGCAGCATAATTTTGAATTTAAATGTAATGATTAAGTATTGGTCAGAATTATTGTTAACACAGTCCATAGAGATATATTAAAAGCCTGTGAAAATTTCCTTCCTACTAAACCACAGCATTTGTCCCTTTTGGACATTTGTCCCTTCTCTGACTACCAGAGAAACACAACCCCACTGAGCCTCTACATTTTCAATTCTGATTCTGCAAAATACAGAGTTGTCAATTTTTTTTTAAACAGAGTTGAAGAAAGTGTTTACAACATTTGCTTAGAGGTTTCCTGGCTCCTTCACTAGGATTTTTCACTACCACTAACTTCCCTTTCAGAGAGACTTACACCCCCCTCCCCCCCTTCCTAGGTAGTCAAGCAAGCCTGGGTAATTTTGATTTCTACAGGTCAGTATATGACAAGACCTCTATTTGAAACACTATCACCCCTACACACAGCCTCGCTCTGCTGAGTTACACTCAGCACCCAAAACCAAAACACCTTTCCAGCAGAGCGCAACTTCATTAGTTGGTCTGCACCAAAACTTCACGTTCACCAATAAAAACGATGTTAAAACGAACTTCAAAGAACAACTGACGCATGGTGCCCTACAATGTGCTTTTTGGAGATCACTTGTGTGCGAATGCTCAAGAGTTTGCTTGAAAAGCAGCTAAAAGCCCTACCTTTAATTCTTCAATGCTAGCAAGGTTGTTGTTGACCATTCTGTCCTTCAGCAAAGTAATGGGATCACTTTTGCTTCTCACTTCTTGAATTTCTTCTCTGGTACGATAGCTAAGAGCAAGACAAGCAAAGACATGAACTTCTTCAGGGATATCCTTGAGTAGCAGTGAGGTTCTGGACACAGCTCACTCTTAGAAAAAGGTGTGACCAAAGAATTGTCAGGAATGCAATGAAAATACGGTGACATTCATCACTCAAAGGATGGCACAGCTACATCTAGAATACTTCTTAGATCTGTAAGCAGCAACCAAGCTGAAGTAGCCTCAGACTCGAGTGTAATGTAAGTGCGGAAAGGGGAGCAATCCCAGCCTGAGACAATTACTCTGAAAGGCTGTATTTTCTCCTTCCCCTCTCCCCTAAGGCAAGTCCAAACTGTTCCTGTAATTTTAGCTTACAGGATTTTAAATACTCTAAAACCCCTGGAAAAGCATGCTGCTTTTCAGTCAAAGCTTAATTAGAACACACTGTGAAGTCACACTGAAAGCAGAATTCATCAATAGAAAGTACAGAGGTTTAACTGACTTTGTGCTTGTTGTAAAACTAAATCTCTTAATACTGCAAGTATGTTATGTGGCCACGGATCATCAGCTAACTGAGCAATGAGATGAGTGATCAGACTGCTCATAGCAACTTCATCGTAACAACTTTCCTGTGCACTTCACAATGGATTTAAGCATTGAATCCATGAGTTTCAGGATTTTAACCCTCAATACTTATTTGTTTTCAGTAAATGCCAAGAAAGAACGTCACAGTACCTTATTCCAGGGTCACTCATACTGTGGCCGTGATAACGGTATGTCTGCAGCTCCATCAGAATAGGACCCTTAAAAAGAAAAAACAATATACAGTGTTACCACCTTGAGTGCTGTTACAGCAGCAAGTATTTGCTATAGGTGAATTGCACCAGTGATGAATGATTTTAATTCAATGTTTTTTCTCCGTGTAATTTACATAATATTACCACAACTAGTAAAATGAAACTTAGCTCTTTTCAAATGAAAGCACAGGTTGATATTGTGAGCATTTATCCTCATGTTCTTACTGAGCAGCATTAAACAATTTCTTCCCTTCCAATGTCATTCCACCATCACTCATCCCATATTACAACTTGCCTGTTGTTTCACTGTAAGATATTAACTCACAGAACCTTATTATTCTCTATGAACCTTTTTCTGTTGTATTCCCAGCACAAACATTATTTCACCAAATATTAAAAATGTTCAGAACCAGTGTGTCATACTTGGGTGACAGACACTAATGCTGACTTGCAAAACTTTTACTTCACTTTCCATTTGTTGCAAATATAGAGTGATTACTGCTTCCCTTGATGCTTCCCCCTAATTCATCTCTTCACAAAGAGCACAACTGTCTGGCGGTCAGAACACCCTTCTCACAACAGAACAGAACTGGGATAGAAATGGGGGAAAAAGATGACAGCAAATCAGGATATATATATTTTTTTTTTAAATGCTTGGTTAATGCCAATGGCAAGTTAATAAATTCTAACAAAATTAAAGAACCACTCAGTTGCTTATAGGTTCAATACTGTGGAGAAAAAAAAAGGAAATAAAGATCAAATAGTTTCAACAGTGACTGGAGAAAACGGGCTAGATAAGGAACTTATTATGCAGCAATAACATGGGTAAAATTTCACCTGTGGAAGAGGAATGATGATTAGAGACTTACTTTTCCAGCTCTACAGTGCTCAGCCGCAAACTTTGTTGCTTCTCGAACACAGAGAACATCCATGCCATCCACCTGATAAACAGAAACTACGAGTTAAGGAAAAAAAAAAAAAGCCAAACCCCAAACTTCCAATTTCAGTACCTCGAAAAGTGCAACAGGAATTTAGTTTCAAATTTTCCTATATTTAAAAAAAAAAATATATTTATAAATAGAAGAAATACATACATACGTATGTATTTTGCAGATGTGTGTCCACTCCTGCCCTCAAAAAAAAACAACCTAGGGTTATGCTCACCCTGAGCCCTGGAATAAAGTCTCCTCTTTTGTAGTAGTCAGTACTGGCTGCAGCTCTTTCAACCGAAGTTCCCATTCCATACCGATTGTTCTCACAGATAAAAATACAAGGCAACTTCCATAAGGCTGCCATATTGTATGTTTCAAATATTTGGCCCTGAAAGAAAAAGAGCAAGTTACAGCAAGACAGGGAGCTCAGCCTTCCAGCATTAGGCTCTACTGAAAATCATTCACTTGCAGAGGTCTAGCTAGGAGACATTTTAACACTAAATGTGA